ACTCTGATTCAGTGTGTAGACTCAAGGTCATAGACATTTAACTTCTGAGCAGACGTCCCCATATGTAACCTGTTAGCAGTATGTCTTCTTTTTTTGGCCTGCATATAAAAGGACCTATAGAAAAGGTTAGGGGACTACTGGGAACAAAGTGGGGGTAATGAGGACTAAAATGGAACTGGCTGGGAACTGAGACTGAAGCTGGAGGCTGGAGGCTGTGGCCACCACTGAATAGAGCATGTCTACTCTCTTAACTGTGTCTTATATCTTCTTCCATCTGCCAAACCCCAAATCTGTTTCCTGGGTCAGGGACTCTACATGACAGTTGACATAATTAGCAGCATGTTCTGCAGGTGAGCGATGCCTTAGTCCCAATGAGTAGGAGGGACCAGTGACTACTGAGTAACACATAGCACTTGGTGACCAAGGCCCTGTTAACATGAACTCCTGTGTAGAGTTGAGACACAGTGGCTGGGTTCCCTGTGAGCACAGAGAAGACTTCTGATTGCCCTGTGGTGAAAATAGATCTTCCAGAGCAGACTCTGAACTCTGAGCAGTGGCACCCAGGCTCCTACCTACAGCCAAGGCACAGCCAAGGACAAAGATGGCAATGGCAGTGCAGATGAGACAGAGAAATGACCTGAGGTGCTGCATGCACAGCTGCTGGGGCCATGGGATAGATGTTTCTTCCAGCTCTGTGAGCAAAAAGCTAATGCAGCTTTACCAGAGACTGCCAAGATGAAGGAGTTACAAGATAACAAAGGTGCCTTGAGTATGGTCTTTGGGGGAGGGTCTCCATACCTTGAAAATACCCATTGGCCTCTCCCATAATACTAGGGAGGAGGAAGAAGATTAATGTCTGCAAGCATGCCCAATGGTAATACAGAAAATGAAAATAAAAATGGTTCTCATGGGCAGCTGCTGGAGTACCAGCAGGGCTGGCCCAGGTGATGAAGTTCACTACATTCCACCAGTAAAGCAGAGTTAGTGAACCTGGAAAAATAATTTGTACAGATGCCAAGAGAGTGTCTGATTGCTTTATTGTTATACCTATGAGATTTAGGGGTGCCCAGAACTGACAGAGAAAAGATACCCCATGTGCTACATGTTATTGATCCTGTACAACCTTGGGACATAGATGTGCTGGAGGCCAGCAGGGGACAGGAAAGCCCTGTGTACTAGAAGCTGGCAGGAGCCAGAGGACTCAAATGTGCCGTGCCTAGAGCCAGCAAGGGCTAAGAGATTCCAAGAGTATTTGAATCTGGCAGTGGCCAAGAGAGCCCAGTGTACTACGAATCAGCAGGACCACAAAAACTTGAATGTATTGGAGGCTGGCAAGGGCCACAAGAGTCCAAATGTGCTAGAAGCTACTATGGGCTGAGAGAGCCCAAGTGTGCCAGGACCTGGCAGAGGCCAGGAGAGCCTGATTGTGCTATAAACTGGCAGGGGCTGAGAGAGCCCAATTGTGCTAGAAGCTGGCCAGGGCCGAGAGAGCTAAAGTAAGCCGGGCATAAAGAGCCCAAATATGCAAGGAGTCAGAAGGCCTAAGAAAGCCCAAGTGTACCAGAGCCTGCTTGGACCAAGACAACCCAGATGTGCTGGAGACTGACAGGGGCCCAAAGAGCCAAGTGTACTAAAAACTAGGAGGGGCCAAAAGAGCCCAAATGTACTAGAAGCTGACAAGGGCCAAGACAGCCCAAGTGTGCCAGGTGCCAGCAGGGGCCAAGAAGCCCGGATATGCTAGATATTGGCTGGGACCATGAGAGCCCAATGTACTCGAAGCTGGCAGGGGCCAAGAAAGCCCCAAAATGCTAGAGGGTGGCAGGCATGAAGAGCCCAAATGTGCCAGGAGCTGGCTGGGTACAAGAGAGAACCAAAGTGTACAAGGAACCAGCAGGGGCCAAGAGAGTCCGGATGTGCTGGAGGCTGGCAGGGGCCAAGAAACCAAGATGCTAAAAGATGGCAGAGACAGGAAAGTCCAAATGTGCCAGAAGCTGGCAGGCACTGAGAGCCAAGTGTGCCAGGAGCCTGCAGGGACCAAGAGAGCCCAGGTGTGCAAGGAGCAGGCTGGGGCCAAGAGACCCAATTGTGCTAGAAGCTGGCAGGTGGCAAAGAGACCAAGTGTGCTAGGAGCCAGGAAAGGCAAGAGAGCCCAGTGTACTAGGAGTCAGCAGAAGTCTAAAGAGCCTTGATGTGCCAGAGGCTGGCTGGGGCCAGGAGAGCCCAGTGTACTAAAAGCTGGCAGGGGCCAAGAAAGCCTAATATGTTAGAATCTGGCAGGCGCTGAGAGTCCAAATGTGCCAGAAGCCTACAGCAGCCAAGAGAGCAGAAGTGTGCTTTGGGCAGCTAGGGCCAAGAGAGAGTCCGAGGGTGCAAGGAACTAGCTGGGGCCAACAGAGAACCAAAGTGTGGAAGGAGCCAGCAGGGGCCAAGTGATCCCAGTTATGCTGCAGACTGGAAGAGGCCATGAGAGCCCAGTGTACTTAAAGTTGGCTGGGGCCAAGAGAGAACAAGGTACAATAAGCTGACAGGCACCAAGAGAGTCCAACTATGCCAGAAGCTATCAGACACTGAGAACCAAATTTGCCAAGACCTGGCAAAGGTCAAGAGAGCCCACGTGTATAAGGAGCTACCTGGGGCCATGAGAAAGCCCAAGTGTGCAAGGAGCTGGCTGGAGCCAAGAGAGCCCAGATGTGCTAGAGGCTAGCGTGGGCCAGGACAGCTCAAATGTTCTAGAAGGTGGCAGGGGCCAGGAGAGCCCAAGTGTGGCAGCAGTCAGCAGGGGCCAAGAGAGAGTCAAATTGTGCAAGGAGCCTGCTAGGGCCACGAGAGCCCAGGTGTGCTAGAGACCTACAGGGACCAAGAGAACCAACTGTACTAGAAGCTGGCAGGGGCCAAGAGAGCCCAAGTGTGCTAGAAGCTGGCAGAGGCCAAGAGAGCCCAAATGTGCTGTAGACTGACAGGGGCCAAGGGAGCCAGGTATACTAAAAGAGGTCAGGGGCCAAGGGAGCCAGGTATACTAAAAGATGTCAGGGGCCAAGAGAGCCCAGATGTGCAAGAAGTTGTCAGGGGCCAAGAGAGCCCAAGTGTGCTAGAAGCTGGCAGAGGCCAAGAGAGCCCAAATATGCTAGAAGCTGGCAGAGGCCAAAAGAGCCCAAATGTGCCAGGAGCTGGCAGGTGCCAAGACAACCCAAGTGTGCTAGGAGCTGGCTGGGGCAAAGAGCCCAGTGTACTAGGACCCAACAGTGACCAGGAGAGCTCAGATATGCTATAGGCTGGCAGGGGCCATGAAAGCGCAGTGTACTATAAGCTGACAGGGGCCAAGAGAGCCCAGTGTGCCAGAAGCTGGCAGGCACTGAAAGCCCAAGTGTGCATGGAGCCAGCTAGGGCCAAGAGAACCCGGATGTGCTAGAGACTGGCAAGGGCCATGAGAGCCACATGTACTAAACCTGGCAGGACCCAAAAGAGCCCAAATGTGCTAGGAGGTGACAGGGGCCAGGAGATCTCAAGTGTGCCAGGCACCAAGAGAGCTCAAGTGTGCAAGGAGCTGGCTGGAATCAAGAGAGCCCAGATGTTTTGAAGCCTTCTGGCAGCCTAAAACAAGAGAGGTGCTAGAGCCCATTACCTCTGTAGGTGAACCAGAAACAAGCCCATACCTTGAAGGTAAGACACCTATTCTGTTCAGGTTTGGTACCCTGATGACTCTAGCCATGGTCAATATCCTGGGTGGTTGGCAGTGACAGTGGAGTCTCAAATAGTCTCATTTGATATGGCTATATGATAAGGAAGCCAGTCAGCTGAGCTAAGTAGTGATTGCAAATGAAGGGTACCCCCTTAGTTACATGTATAGGTGTAATAGGAATAAGTTCTGTGGAAAGAACTTTAGGAGCTTTAGGAGCTTAGCCCCCAGGAACAGGTGACTATAGGGCATGTTATTGGACATGCCCCCTTGGCTAGCCTAGGGAATGATGAAGCAGTTGCTTTGGCTCCGGCCAGTGGTTAGAGTGGATGCCTCCCACTGACTTGGCAGCTTGGTTGCACTGCTGCCTACAGTATGTAAATGTGAAGATTATGTGGAATGTAGTCAAACAGTGTGGTTTAATTTGGGATGCCCTGGTAGAGGCCTGCCAGGCATGTGTGGTTTTATACTCAGGAGTATCCTTGGAACCTTGGATTATCCGAATGCTTTGGAACCATGAATAGCCAAGTAATGTGTGGAGGCATCCCTTTAACAACACTGACTACATTGGCCATTTATTGGGGTCAGAAGGGATGATGTTTCCTTGAAAGCAGTTGATATGGCTTGTTATTTGCCTGGGCCAGTGGTAAAATGAATCACTATGCTACCATTCATGCCCTGACTCTATTGACAGCTTGGTGTGGTCCACCCATTACAAAAGAAAGTAACCAAGGGACTACTGTGCAGGTCAAGATGTACAATGATGGGTAACTCATTTACAGATTCAATAGAAGCTGCACATCCATATCACCCACAGACTGCAGCCAAGATAGAGATAATGGCCTGTTTACGCAAGGACTTAGGACTTCAGTCAACCCACCTTCTATGAAGGGGAGGGCACAATGCCTGTGGGCAGTTATGAGAGCTCTAAATGAGCATCTCCAGTGAGGACATGGGGACCAACTCCTCCTCACTTTGGAAGTGGAAACATTGCTGCATCACACAACAACCCCAATAGAGGTCCAGGTGACAAAGGATGTATTTCAACCTGAGTTTTGGAAGCAAGGGAATGTTCTGTTGCCTGCTCCCACTGGGTTGAATAGGGGGCAAATTGTGGATTGGACATGACCCTAGACAATAAAGGTCCCAACGTTTGTTGGGCAGCCCTGTTAGCCCATAGGGATAGAGGTTTGGAGTTTGATCTTGTAATTCCATTGGTAACTAGTGAATGCCATGCCCCCAGGATATACATGACTTTGCCAGGTTCCTCAGATGGGACTCAGATTTTAAAGGGTACATTTTCTTTCCCTTTGACCAATTATAGTTCCCTGGAGCTAGAGCACACCAAGCCTGATGAAGTTCAGAATAAACCTGTATGAGCATGGTATCACCACCAAGGGAAGCTGCCACAGGTGATTACTGTGCTTTTTCAGTATTCTAAGTTGGCATTCATTTTCCTAGAAGGATGTAATTTACCTGTGCTTAAGCCTGTAACTGCTTTGTTCTTTTGTCTGTAGGCATGTCCTCACCAACAACATTGTGAACTGGACACACATCTCCCACACCTACACCAAAGGTGTCTACTGGATATGCATTGAAATACCTGTGAGGTCTGCTGCTAGACTTCCCTAAAAAATTCAGACTCTGTCCCTGGACAAATGGACATGGCTAAGAAAAACTTTTACTTCTATTCCAATATGGGATGAAACTAGCAATAACTTTTAGTAATTGTGAGTAATGGGGCTTGTCTTTTGGTTGTAAATTGTTGTAGCTTGTATTATTTCTGTGGCCTGTGGATGCAGGGCTCTGTCCTCTTTTCTAAGGGATCATTGCAGAAGACTTCATACATGTAGATTGTACATGAGGAATTCTAAAGGGGTGGGTTGTTGGGGCAGGCCCCAAATGGCTGTAGTTAGGCTCCTTACCAAGACTTAGTCTGTGGCCAGGACTAGGAACTGGCTATGTTATGGCAGTCAAGGCCAGAAATGCTGATTCAGCATGTGGACTCAAGGTCATGAACATTAACTGTGAGCAGGTACCTTCTTTCTTTGTTCTGCATATAAAAAGGACCTGTGGAAAAGGCTCAGGGTGAAGGGGGCTAAAAGGGACAGAATGGGGCAAAATAGGGGACAAAATCGAACTATCTGGGAGCTGAAACTGAAGCTGGAGGCTATAGGCTGTGGCCACAGCTGAATAAAACATGCCTAGTAACTTAACTGTGCCTGGCATCTTCTTCCACCTGCTGACCCCAGAATCTGTTTCCTTAGTCAGAATCCCTGCACAACAAGAGAGGTGAGAAGTATGAACAACTCAGACTCTTATATTCTCTTAACATTGCTGAGGAAGTGGACTGTAGGAAGAAAACCAAAGAGACATTTTGCCTACTCCACTAATTTGTCTCCATCCCAGTAGAAAAAACAACAGGCCAGGGGTCGGGGAGGGGGTGCTTCAGTTTAAATTTCAAGTGACCCTGTAGTATGCTGTTTTTAAGTCTTTTGAATATATGCCGAAGAGTGGGATAGCTGGGTCAGATGGTGGTTCCATTCCAAGTTTTTCAAGGAATCTCCATACTGCTTTCCAGATTGACTGCACCAATTTGCAGTCCGACCAGCAATGTCTGAGTGTGCCTTTTTCCCCACCTCCTTGCCAACACTTATTATTGTTGTTTGACTGGAGTGAGATGAAATCTTGATTTGCATTTCTCTAAATGCTAGAGATGTTGAACATTTTTTCATCTGTTTGTTGATTGATTGTATATCCTCTTCTGAGAAGTGTCTGTTCAGGTCCTTGTCCCATTTATTGGTTGGGTTATTTGTTTTATTTATTTATTTTTTTAATGTTAAGATTTTTGAGTGTTTTTTATATCCTAGAGATTAGCGCTCTATCTGGTGTGCTTATGCTAAAGATTTGCTCCCATTCTGTAGAATCTCTATTCACATCACTGATTGTTTCTTTTGTTGAGAAGAAGCTTTTTAGTTGAAATCCATCCCATTTATTGAATATTGGTTTTAATTCTTGCACTATAGGAGTCTTATTAAGGAAGCTGGGGCCTAATCCAACATGATGGAGATTTGGACCTACTTTTTCTTCCATTGGGCACAAGGTCTCTGGTTTAATTCCTAGGTCCTTGATCCACTTTGAGTTGAGTTTTGTACATGGTCAGAGAGAGAGATGTTTAATTTCATTTTGTTACATGTGGATTTTCAGTTTTCCCAGCACCATTTGTTGAAGAGGCTGTCTTTTCTCCATTGTATGCTTTTGGTGCCTTGTCTAATATAAGATAATTGTAGTTATGTGGGTTAGTCTCTGTGTCCTCTATTCTATACCACTGGTCTATAGGTCTGTTATGGTGCAAATACCATGTGGGTTTTGTTACTATTGCTCTGTAGTATAGTTTAAGATTGAAATAGTAATGCCATCAGCTTCACTCTTCTTGCTAAGGATTGCTTTGGCTATTCTGGGTCTCTTATTTTTCCAGGTGAATTTCATGATTGCTTTTTCTATTTCTATGAGGCATGTCATTGAGATTTTGATTGGGATTTCATTGAATCTGTATAGTGCTTTTGGTAGTATGGTCATTTTGACAATATTAACTTTGACTATCCAAGAACAAGGTAGATCTTTCCATCTTCTAAGGTCATCTTTAATTTCTTTCTTTAGCAAGTTGTAGTTTTCAATGTAGAGGCCTTTTACCTCTTTTATTAAGTTTATATCCAAGTATTTTATTTTATTTTATTGAGGCTATTGTAATTGGGATTGTTTTCCTTGTTTCTCTTTTAGCAGATTTGTCACTGATGTACACAGATTTGTACACTGATGCCTTTGATTTATGGGCATTGATTTTATATCCAGCTACTTTGCTGATTTCAGTGTACTACAGGGACACAGCCATATCAGTGTGTATAGCAGCACAATTCACAATAGCTAAATTGTGGAACCAACCCAGATACCAGTAGATTAATGGATAGGAAAACTTTGGTATATACACACAATGACACATTACTCAGCATTAAAAGAAAATTAAATCATGGCATTTTCAGGTAAATGGATAGAGTTGGAGAATATAATGCTAAGTGAAATTAGCCAGTCCCCAAAAATCAAAGGTTGAATGTTTTCTTTGATATGAGATGCTGACTCATAATGGCGATGGGGGTGGGAACATGGGAGGAATGGAGGAACTTTAGGGCAAGGGAGAGGGAGAAAAAGGGAGGGGGCAATGGAGTAGGAATGATGGTAGTATGAGTCAGACATCATTACCCTAAGTACATGTATGAAGATGCAAGTGGTGTGAAAATACTTTGTGTACAGTGAATTGAAAAACTGTGCTGTATATGAGTAATATGAAATGAATTGCATTCTGCCATAATGTATAACAAATTAGAATAAATAAATTAATTAATAAATAAGAAGAAACTAAAAAAAAAAAGAGGCAATGCCTAGTGGAAGATATGGGCACCACCTTGAAGGGATTAGTGCTCATGTCATGAGTTAGTCTTATGGGACTGGATTAGTTATCAAGAGGGCAGGTTGTACTGGCCAGAGCAATTAGACAGACGAAAGAAATTAAAGGCATAAAAATAGGAAAAGAAGAACTTAAATTATCACTATTT